TGCCTAAGGTGGGACCTAGAACTCCCCAGTCTCCCGGTTTCTAGCCTGGCGCCATAACCACTACACCAAACTGGCTCTCTGTTCACCACCACTGACATGGTAAATTCTATCCTTCTTTTGCATTGCATGAATGGGATTGCTCTCCTTTTGCAGCATATGAAGATAACTTTGATGACTCTGGGGAACAGTAGGACTAGTAGTACAGTAGTTCCATTTCAATATAGGAATTAATTATCAAGTGCTTTTCAATGCAATTCATGGTATGCGCTGTCAGCTACAACAGAAACATTAAAGAAGCTGGGCTCCTATGTACTCCAAAGAATATAATTTCTTCCAAAACATTTCCCTTCTTGATAATCAAAACAGAGTGCTGGAAAAGCCCAAAGTTTTAGTGCTGACATTTTAAACTGTCCTCCTTCCTTGGGTTAATAGACAACTGAACCTTTAAAAAAAGGTTGCTGTTATTTTGTGAATTCTAGGTATTTTTAATAGCTCTAGAGAAATGAATTGCTAGGATTGTAAAGTAAGTTATTGATGTAAAGTGAGGGTGTTCTTTTAAAAAATGTTTAAGCATAAGCAGTATACTTCAGAGGGTTAAAATCATTTGTTATTGAAAAGCAATTGTCATAAAAATTGGGACATGTCTGGCTTGTCAGTGCAGCTGGTGTGATATGAGATATTCAGTGCAAAAATGCTATTAGAAAATTAGAACATAAACAACTTCTTACCTTGTGTAAGGTCACTGAGTACTGTTCCCATATCAGCTCTTCCATGACTGGGCCCTATTTATATGGAGAAAAACAACATCAACTGAAAAAAGGAATTCTTTCCAAAAGCGCTTCAAGCCAAATAAATATTTTTACAATTATATCAGAGCAATATTTTTAAAACCAATCTTAAAGAGCAAGGCTCTGGGTAAAAAAAAAATAGGTACTTTCTGAACAAATGTTAGCAGAAAATACATATGGCTGCTTGTCTATTTTCATATTTTAAGCTTGTAATACAAATTGTAAAGGAAGCAGCCAAATCTTAGAAATCTACTTCTTTTTTTAATCCAGGTACAGGCAAATGTCTACATAGGGATATTGTCTCCAAAGAATCATAATGATATAATAAAATAAAAACACCGATATATAGATTTTTTATCCTGTTCACAGACTTGGCAGGGAAACTGTGAGGGTTGACAAAAACAAACCTGAACAGAACCAAACAAAGGTTTGATACTTTAATGGTAGAGAATAAGATTCCTCCTTAGGCTTTGAAGAAACTATTGACAATGGATATATTACATTTATTTATGAATTGTTTCCCCTAGGACTTTCAAAAGCATGTTATAAAATAAAAATCCAATTAAAAATTAAACAACCCTAAATTAAAATAAAAAATAAAAGCTAAAAGTATAAAACAACAGAGTAATGCAGCAACATTAAGGGTGCTTCCAAACATGGCTTTTATCATACAATTGCTGTCTTGTTCACAATATTATAGATCTGTCCAAGCAATGTCACTTTTCATTTGCAACCTTTCCTGTCTCTTCCCATAACTTTGACTGGAAAGAAATGAAGGCGTTAGGACTTCAGGAAGCCCTCTGGAGTCAGACAACAAAAGGCTATTCCAAGCTCAAGGCCTGGTGAAATAAAACAGACTGCAGCCTAGCAAAATACCCCAGACGCAGGGGGCCAAGCAACCCATCAAGGCAATAATGTTGTTGCTATGATTGTAGTCCATTTGTAAGATTACACGACTGACTACAAACTTCCAGTCTACATCCTCACAACTAAGAAGTGGTTCTCTGTCACATACACTCTCAAATCAAATTACCAAGCTCCTCCTCCTGCTAGACATTGAAAAGGTTTAGTCTTCTTAAAATAAAGGGAGAAGTCCATGAACCCCAGCTAAGAGTAAGGTTCTGTCTCCCTAACAATCTCTGAATTAACAGTTGTGATCTTGCAAGAAATCTGGGAAGTCTAAACTAATTGATTAGGAGGAACATTTGCTTCAAAAAAAATTCTGTAAAAATAGGTAAAATGTTTAGCTATTTTACAATTTTTTGCAGAAATTGCAGAAATTGTTATTCCTTTTTGCCATGTGGCACCGAGTCCCATGTTCTGTATTTCCAAGTACAAGTTATGAAACTGAGTATTAGATATTAGCCTTTGTGCATATGTCAGGTTATGCTCATGTAGCTGATTCTTTTCCTTGAGCATCTTCTTGTGATCTGCAATATTTAGACAGCGAGTTCTCTTTTTGTGGCAGATCCCAGCCATTTTGTGGTCTGCTCAAAGCATTATATGGAGTGAGATGCACTTTTATTGCTTTATTCACCCCATTAAGATTCCCCTCCAAATCTGTTTTGGCCAAAACATGGAGCAACAAAGATGTTCTAGTTTTCAGTTCAGACAAATCATGACCTCTCCCATAAACAGTACAGCCAAATGGACAGGTCACAAAATGTATTTTTTTTTGTACACTCCCCTAATTACAGTGGTACCTCTACTTACGAACTTAATCCATTCCGTGACTCTGATCGCAAGTCACGTTGGTCGCAAGTCAAAGTAAATTTTCCCATAAGGTTCAATGTAATTGCCGTTAATCCGTTCCGGCGTCCGTGGACCACGCGTCAGGGGCGGAAAAACGGCCGCTGACCACGCGGCAGGGTGGAAAAATGGCTGCGGACCATGTGTCAGGGGTGGAAAAATGGCCGCAGACCACGTGGAATGGGCGGAAATTGGCCGCGGACCACGTGGCACAGGCGGAAAATGGCCGTGGACCACGTGGCACGGGTGGAAAATGGCTGCGGATCCGGTTCGTAAGTCGAGGCAAGTTCGTAAGTAGAGGTAAATTTTACTTTAGATAGTTCAAAGTGGCACCAGATCCATAGCTATTTTCCTAACACAAAGATAATCAGTAAAGTTTCATGAATCATGGGGAACTAATTAAAACTAGAATCAGATTCTTAGCAAGTGATTTGATACAATGTCTTGTCTTGGGATAAAATGCTCATCATAAATTAAGAGAGCAATCAAGATGTTTTATTTTATATACATCCTAATGGAACTACTTAAACCATCCCAAATATTAATTTTTGATTATTAATGCTGATATCTTTACACATATTGACCATGAAAAAAGTTGAAAAGAGCTTAAAATCAACAGGATTTTTTTTTTAGGAAACATGACTATGAAAATCAGGACAGATGACAACTGTACAATCACACCCACAATGCTCTGGATTGATCATCTCCTTGTTGAACCATGTACCAGCAAAATTACTTTTTAGCTATTGCGTTTGATGTCCTCTAACATCAAAATGCTTTTGTTTCCTGAGACACATGCAAACAAATATATGTTCACTAGTTTTACAGTGTAGAAACCAATAGATTGTGGATTTTTATTTTTATGCAGCCGCGCACAGAATGTTGAAGGATACACATTTGTTATTTCAAGTACTTAAAAATATTTTATTTGTGAATGAAACTACTAGAGTAATTGCTCTATAAGTAAAGAAATTAGAGTAGCATTTGTTTCTGGGAAGAAGGCAGAAGAGATTAATGTTCCTTGAAATTACATATAATCAAATTGCTACAAATAAAATTGAATGTTTTTCCTGCTCTTGAAGAATGAATTAATTAAACTATAAGTGACTATTTCTAGAAGCTGCATTTTGTAGAGAACAGAATGTAGTATTTACAAAGTATTGCAAGCTCACCTTGGGAGTTCCCTAGGCATAAAAGCCATCTGTGCTATTCTAAATCTCTAACTCATAATCTCTTCTTTAATATTATAAAATTTACATCTGTTTGCTTTACAAAATACTGTCAATGCCAACAGATTAATGGAAGGACCAAAATGAGCATGGGGGTTGGGCAAGACCACAGATTTTATAAACCTCCCTCTAAAGGAGAGAAGATTAAATTCTCTATCCCAAAATTCTAGCTATCTAGGAGCCAAGAAACCGAGGGCAAAAGATGCATGGAGAATGCAAATTCATCAAGCGTTTGTTAAATCAAGTATTAGCTACTTATTAGAAGTTATTAACATATCACCTGGGAAAAATGCAAAAAGATAATCACAATACATTTGTTATTACATTATTTATGCAAGTACACCGCTGAAAAAATTACTAATAATTTCTTCAGCAAATTCAGACAAGTACCTTAATGAAGTACCATTCTTTAATTCAACAATCTTCTTAAAGAGAATTATGCACAGATTTCATCCTATCCAGTTCTAATTAAATAGTGCATTTATAGGATCTACTACTAATGAACTCTGTGATTCTCCTCATGGACACTTTACAAGCATAAAGATCAAGAAATATCCTCTAAGGCAAGCTAGTTTATTCATATTTTAAATTTAAAAACCTTTCTGGGTACAGGTACTTCAGAGTTTAAGAACGAGTTCCGTTCCCAAGGTCTGTCCTTAAATCGAATTTGTACATAAGCCAGAACAGTATTATTGTATAATACTGTATAAATAATATTTTATAATTAACTCGAACCATTGTGTATCTAACGTGAATCATTGTGTACTTAACTTGAATCTTGCTACAGTAGGCTCTATTCTTAACTATGGGTCGTCCTTAAACTGGGTGTTCTTAGCCCAGGGATTATCTATACTAGGGAATGGAAAAAGATAATAAATCAACTTGCACGCCCTTTTAAGATCCTCAATTTTTCACAGCGTGTAATCACATTCACTATGCTTTATCTGTTTTTGTTGTGGCAGACTGTAATCTGTTAAGAGAGTGTGAACTTCCCAGTCCTTTTATCAATTTGTATCATTCTAAAATGGTTATGTAATTCTACTATAATAGCAGCCTACATATTCAGCCAATCCTGCCAGTCTTTCCCATGGTAATGTACAGGAATTCAAATACACATACCCAAGAACAATACAACTTCCAAAAGCGGGTGAGCCCCATGGTGAGCTAGACATCCCTCTTGCAACGGGACAGCATTTTCAACGGAGATTGGCAGCTGGATGCAGGATCCTGGCCGCCGATATCTCCCTGGTGCAAAGGAGATCTTGAGAGAGCCCATGTGACTCTGCACAGCTGCTCCTCGTGAGTTATTGCAGGAATCAATATTTCGCGGTCTGCTTATGAGTTGAACAGCTGGGAGTCAAGGGAGGAACCTTCTTTGCTCACAGTCATGAATGCAGCCTTTCTTAAGGACAGTAAGCTTGACTGAGCCTCATCTCTTAATCACTTTAGATATGCTTTTCCTTACTGCCTTGGAAATATTAAGACCCTTTGGAATGGCAAGCTATACGGTATTCACTGGGTGAGTTGCCTTCTCCTTGGAGAAATAATTTTTTAAAATTTTGAAAAAATATTACTTTTTGGATTAAACAGCAAAAGGGTGCTTAAAGTATGGATTGTGGAAAGTTAACAATGGATTAAGAGTCCAGATGGACTTGGAATTATAATTCTGAAATAATTAGAAGAACCCTTCCTGTGGGAAATTACGCCTGTTTGGGTTTCCTTAACAGGGACATGATAATGGAACTTTCAGAACCTGACACTAGAGGGAGCTAGAGGATAATATATCTGGCTTGTCAATAAAGAATGGAGCAAAACACTTCCATTTTTCTGGACACTGGTCCTCGAAATTATTTGATATGATAGATGAATGGTGTGTCATGAAGTTACAGAAGAAGAACAAGCTATACTGGATAAATCTGAAACTAACTGGAATCTGGATTTAAATCTGACAAGTAATGAGAAGGATATGGAGAAAGATGTATTGGATATACAAACAAAACCGGTTGATGTTTCATT